CAACAACAACAACAACACACAACAACACAACACAACACCAACAACAACACCAACACCAACCAACACCAACACCAACAAACACAACACCAACACCAACACCAAACACAACAACAACACAACAACAAACAACAACAAAACAACACAACAACAACACAACAACACAACACACAACAACAACAACAACAACAACAACAACAACACAACACAACAACAACAACAACAAACAACAACACACAACAACAACAACAACAACAACAACAACAACAACAACAACAACAACAACACAACAACAACAACACACAACCACAACAACAACACAACAACACAACAACAACAACAACACAACAACAACAACACAACAACAAACACAACAACAACAACAACAACAACAACAACAACAACAACAACAACAACAACAACACAACAAACAACAACAACAACACAACAACAACAACAACAACAACAACAACAACACAACACAACACAACAACAACAACAACAAAAAACACAACAACAACAACAACACAACAACAACACACACAACAACAACAACAACAACAACAACAACAACAACAACAACACAACAACACAACACCACAACAACAACACAACACACAACACACAACAACAACAACAACAACAACAACAACAACAACAACAACAACAACAACAACAACACACAACAACAACAACACAACACAAAACAACACGACAACGACAACGACAACGACAACGACACGACAACCGACAAACCGACAACGACACCGAACAACGACAACGACAACGACAACGACAACACAACGACAACGACAACGACAACGACAACGACAACGACTACAACGACAACGACAACGACACGACACGACAACGACAACACGACCGACAACGACAACGACAACGCAACGACAACGACAACGCACGACAACGACAACACCAACGACAACGACAACGACAACAACAACACAACAACCACAACAACAACACAACAACAACAACAACAACAACACACACTCACAACAACCCTGCTTAGAATGTCCTTGGGCTCCCAACCACCCCAATGATGCTCCTGATGCGGTGTGCGCGCGCGCGCGCCGCGCGCGCGTCCCAAACCAACCCCAATGATGCTCCTGATGCGGGTGCGTGCGTGCGCGCGCGCGCGCGGGCGGGCGGGGGGGGGGGGGGGGGGGGGGGGGGGGGGGGGGGGGGGGGGGGGGGGGGGGGGGAGGGAGGGGGGGCGAAGGCAGGAGAAAGAGAGACAGAGAGAAGGAGACGAAGAATGAAAGAGAAAAAGAGACAAAGGTGAACGAAGAAGAGAAAGGTGAACGAACAAGAGAAAGTGAGAAGATAGAGAGGGAGAGAGATTAAAAAAAAAGAAAAAACAAAGAAGAGAGAGAGCGAGAGAGAGAGAGAGACAGACAGAGGAAGACTAACAGCAACAGAAAGAAAAGAAAAAAGAGAGAGGTGAAGGAGAAACAAAGAGAGGAAAAGAAACAGAGAAAGACCAACAGCAAGAGAAAGAGAAAGAGAAAGAGAGAGAGAGAGAGAGACAGACAAAGAGAAGTAGAAGGAAAAAGATATTGAAGAGACAGAGAATAAAGAGAAAGAGAAACAAAAAAGATAAAGATAAAGAGAAAATGAAAACAAGGAAGCAGAGGAGAATAAATATAAAGAGAGACAAAAAGATAAAGAGAAAGAGGAAATAAAAACAAGGAAGCACAGGGAAGTAAGAGGAGAAAGATAAAGACAGAGAAAAAGAAAAACAGGCAAGTAGAGAGAGGAAGAAACAAAGACATAAAAAAAAAGTGAAAAAAAAAACACGCGAGAGAGCGAGAGAGAGAGAGAGGAGAGCGAAAAAGAAAAAGGACAAAGAAAAATGGAAAGAGAGCGAGAGGAGAGAGACAAAGACAAAGGACAAAGAAAACGGAAAGAGAAGACAGTGCCAAGGTTGAAGGTTTCGTGCTTTGGGGGGCGGGGGCCGGCCCGTGCCGCTAGGCCTGAAATTTAGGGTTTAGGGTTTAGGGTTTAGGGTTAGGTTTGGGTTCAGGTTTTAGGGTTTAGGCTTTAGGGTTTAGGCAGAGTGTACGGGATATGTATGTGTTAGTTTGTTAAGGGTTTATACCCGAAATATGTACTGTGCTGGGTATGTATCCCCCGAAACCCCAAGGACTATAAATCCCTTACCCGAAACTCCTGAACCGTAAGCCCCAAATCTTGAACCCAAAACTCCTGAACCCGCAACCCCAAGCCCCAAATCCGAAACGCTAAGGCGTGCTGAGGCCCCCCAACTAATTCTGCTTGCTTGACCCTATACCCTAAACCCTAAACCCTAAACCCCTAAACCCTAAACCCAGGGACCAAAAGGTCCTCCCTGAAGGGGCTACGACGTAAAAAAGGTTTACCCTAAACCCTAACCCCTAAACACTAAATAAAGCCTGAACCCTAAACCAAGGTCCTCCCTGAAGGGCTACGACGTAAAAAAGGTTTAGGTTTAGGGCACATACCTGATTTCCCAAATCCCTACGCGGAGCCCATATCTTCGGTGTTGAGGGTTTAACGCCTCGGGCTTTCGGGTTTTGGCCAGGTCGTGTTTAGGGCCCCTAAACCCTAAACCCGAAACCCTAAACCCTGAACCCTGAGGCCTAAAACCCTAAACCTTGGGTTCAGCTTGTTTCTTGTTCTGGCTTGAATGGGGGCGGGGTTAGCACCAAGATCCGAG